ATCATCTGTAAGAACACTCAAGGATGGCATAGAGGTGTTGGTATTTAGAAGTGAACAGGGTATTGACAAGAGTGGCACACAAATAATGAAACGTGGTAAGACCAGCAAACCTGTGTACTCAAAGGACTCACTTGCCCTGAGGGAATACAAGGAACTTATAAAGAAAATAAAAGAAGTACCTACGAATCCTGACGCTAGAATTACAAGTGAAGAATCACTTTATGAGGACAGTAGAGAAGAGCCGCAATTTGATTCCAGTGATGAGGAATACGCTGACCGTGAGAACATTGAGTTAGTAGACATAAGTGCAAAACTAGGAGATCTTCCTGGGCTAACAATGCAAGAAAACAATGAACTGAGAGGGGTTCTTAACCCACCTGATGGATCAAGCATAGAAAGCAGAACAGGTCCTAATGGAGCGTTACAAATTCAGGCTGACTACTTTAATGAAGCTATTGGTGAAACCGTGGAACGCGCTACCTCTGCGGAAGGTACAACTGAGTATAATTCCCTCCTAGAAAGAATTGACAGTTTGAAGGAAGCTAGAGATCGAACCCTAGAGCAGAGAACGGTAGAGGAAGCAAGAGAGGCACAGTTGAAGGACTTTTCCAGATTACGTAGATTTATAGACTGGGTAGGAAAGGAGAAGGTGGGACTTGCAGGTATAGCAGTGTCAACAGCTAGTTTAATTACAGCCTTGTTAATTCATGCTAGGGGAGCCATTGTGCAGACAGCAAAGGCCACTGGCAAAGTAGCAAAAGCACTAGCAAATTTAGCAAAGAAAGCGGGACCAATTCTAGTTCCAATCCTGAACACCATTGCAACAGCACTATCATGGGGTGCAAAAGGAATTGCTTGGTTAGCGTCACACTTATGGGTATTAGCTATAGCTGCAGCCTTAATGGTGTACAACTATTACACAAAGTAAATTAGCTATGGAGGAACATCAAGAGGAATATGATGACCAGAAAATGGAGGAGCTGAAGGAAAAGTATCCGGACTATGAAGAAATGGATACAGAAACTTTAGATAGCGAATTACTGCACCTTGACGATGATCTTAGGGAAAGCAAAACTACTGAGGAGACCCAGGATATTAACGAGGAAATTAATTACGTACTCGAACTGAGGAGGAGGAGAGAAATACCGAGTGAATACCTTACGAGAGAGCAATTAGCTGAGAAATTCCCTGACCTAACTAATCTGTCATACGATGATCTAATGGATAGGGGAGACAGACTGTTAAATGAATTAATACTATCCGATTTGGATGAAGACAGTTTCAAGGAAAAGTCGGAAGAACTGAGGTACGTCAGAATGCTATCAAATGATTACCAAAGAGAGTCAAATCTAAATAAGCTTCTCAACTTAAGAGATAAAGTGAAAAAGAGGGATCTCATTAAACGGGATGATCGTAGGAGACTACAGAGGCTTAGGTTATGGGCAAGGGAGAATGCAGGCGTCCTATCAGCTGTTCTAATTTCCTCATCAGCTGTAATCATAGGATTGGTAGCATCAACTAGAAACATATTGTGGAAAGTAGGTGACACAACAGGAAAGCTCGATAAGAAGATCAGTGAGTTGGTAAACAATCAAATAGAACTACCACCTGTATTCCAGAAGATAGCCGATGGAGTAGAGTTAGCAGCGGATAATATATGGATAATCATTGTATGTGCAGCAGCAGTTCTAGTATACATATACAACTAAACATTACATATTGTATAAAGTATGAATACCACAGAAAGAGAACTCCAACCTGGCTTTAGGAGGAGCCGTATGACATCCGTAAAAGGACTTAGAACTAGAAGTGTTGTAACTTTTAATCCAACAACAATTAGCCCGGGAGAAGAGCTGTACATTAACATTCCTAAACTAAAGCCTGACTCTTGTTTAGTTCCAGGGTCACTTGCACTATTATTTGACTTCAAGAATTCCAATACAAAAAGCCACTTTAATAATAACCTGTCTAAGTTGATTGCAAAACGTCTTCAGGTTAAAGTAGCAGGTGAGACTGCTTATGATTGTTCAAGAGAGAGTTTGTACGAAATTTATAAAGATCTATGGCTAACACTAGGTGACAGAAATAAGATGACAGAACAAGGTCTCGCAAGTGAGAATCTTAGGAAGCTAATCTCAGGCGACGACTCAGGAGTAAAAGTAGGTGATGCTAATAAAGTAGCAGATGGACTTCTCCATAGTGTGTACGGCTCTAAACTTAGAAAACCAATTGATAAGATTATTGCAGATCATGGACTCTACACTCCATTCTATATGAATAACAATCCTATGTACATCCTCACACTCCCGCAATCAGATGAGATTATGACTGCCCAAGGAGGTGAAGCTAAGGGTAATTATAAACTTGACAATCTTGAGTTAGAATATGAGACCATTGAGAATGACGCCCTTGCAAGTGAAGTATCAAGGATGTATTCAACAGGCCGCTCACTGTCCTACAAACACGTTACACTCATGCGTACAAGTAATTGGGACAAAGATCTTACCATTGTCAATGAAAACATAAATATCCCCAGAAAGAGCATGTCAGCAATTGTACTTCTATTTACTAATAGAGTGAGAACCGATTCTGAAGAGTATATTTACCCAAACATTGATAAAGTGAACCTGACCATTGAGGGTGTGCCTAACGCAGTCTTTTCCCAAGGACTTCCTAAAAGTAGGTTCTTTGAAGAGGCAAAACGATTCTTTTGTCCTATGTGTGAGAAATCAATGGCAGACGAATTTATGTCCATCAGCAGGTTCTTCAGTAATGGTTTCACCCTAGTGATCGACTTAAGGTCAACACAGGATGACACCACTGGAGGAGGTAGAAAGATTGTTAACACACAGTCTGGAGTACTTATGGAAATCAAAAAGAGAGCCACAACAGCAGACGTTCAGTGCAACATTTTTGTTGTATCAGATGCCCTACTTAACTTTGCTAGTAGAGATCTGTCAAGTATTCAATACTAGAGTCCACACATATGGTAAAGCATAGAGATGAATCTAGAGCCACCATTTAATATGCTCATAGTAGGAATGACTGGAAGTGGTAAGACTCAGTTCTTACTAAATATGTTAGAAATAGAGTACAATAAAGTTTTCGATTATATTGTTATTATATGTCCAACAATATATTGGAATATGACTTACATTAACTGGGCTCATATTAGTGATCACGGAGTCATACAAATTCCATGTTCCCAGGAAATGATCAATCTTATTCTCAAGGCAGTGTCCACCATATTCCGCGGAACCCAGACTCTCATTATAGTGGATGATTGTGCTGCAAGTCAAGATGTAAAGAAAAGAGTCTCAGAACTGGTGCGGCTAGCATTCTCCGCAAGACATTACAATATATCTGTCATTGTAATTACCCAACAACTGTCATCAGTGGCAAAACCATTTAGGGAGAACATTTCCAGGTTAGTTACATTTTATAACCCTAGTCGCAGAGATATGAAGGTCATAACAGATGATTACCTAAGTGGTGTCCCTCAGGAGACAATTGCGGAGATTACGAAAATACTAAAAGATGAGAAGTTCACCGCATTAGATATACTCCTCATTCACCCTTACACATACACTATCAAACAAAACATCGCGTAGGATATAAAAGATGGGATCTGAATCTGACGAAGAAATATCAGCAGCTGTGAGGGAAGTAGAAGAGGCCGCAAAGACACCGCAAAAGAAAGCAAGAAAAACTAAGCCCACCGTAGATAAGTCGCAAACTGAACACAAAAGGAATAAGCTTATCGAGCTATCTAGGGATGGTGTAATTGATAAGACCGCAGTTTTCATAAGAAAGTCAAACAAAGATGTTGTGGATAGACTTTACAGTGAGTATGAAAGTCAGAGGATGTCATGCGCAAGTGACTTCTTATCAACACTTATTATCTCAAAGTTTGCTTCCATACTAGGAAGTTTTAATGCGGTGGAATCTTCTGAGAAGCTGTCAGAGGAACTACTTAGTGATAAGCTTTTAAAGGATGACGTATGTTATTTAACTAGAACGATATCCCCAAACATCCCATTCATTGGTCTCATATCAGGTGGTTGTACCACAGCTAAGCACGTGGTTGCTCACAAGTGGAATAAGAAGGAAAAGACTGAGGAAATATCTGAGGAAGCAAAACATATTCTATTACATAGCGAAGAAGAATGTCAGACCACGAGTGGGAGAACGCCTGGGAAGGAACAGAATTCGAAGACATAATTAATGAATTGATTGAGAAAACCAACAGGAGCATGGAAAAGATAGATAGGATTGGGAAGAAAGTTGACGTAATTGAGAGGGACTTACTGCGGATTCAGGTAGACCGTGAAATGCGAATAGTTGTCGCGTTAGTTTTAACAGTTGTACGATGACGTTTCTAGGCAGATTTTCGACGTTTCTAAGGCGTGGCTTCAACGTTTATTTTTAAAATTTGAACGTTGTAATTACAAGGTAATTGCTAAATAATATACTTCAAAATAAGGTTTTCGTTTTTATATCAATTTTTTAAATAAGTTAGGGTTAGGTAAGGGTTTAGTTTTGCGTTAGGATGATTTTTTCTACGTTATAAAAACGAAAACCTTATTTTGAAGTATATTATTTAGCAATTACCTTGTAATTACAACGTTCAAATTTTAAAAATAAACGTTGAAGCCACGCCTTAGAAACGTCGAAAATCTGCCTAGAAACGTCATCGTACAACTGTTAAAACTAACGCGACAACTATTCGCATTTCACGGTCTACCTGAATCCGCAGTATATGCACTTAGGAATAAGGTCATACTTCCCCTCCAGAATGACTTTTACAACTTTAAAGATGATACAGTTAAAACAGTAATAAAGATATACAAGAACCTTCATGGAGTATAGTATTTTATTTGCTAGGGGATGTACATAATAGTCGGAGCAGTTGGGTGGGTAGAGGGAATGCTGCTTCATAAATCAAAATAAAATAGCCATAAAATAGGCCCAAAATTCTTACATATATAATATAGGGAAAGATGGAAAAACTATTCAGAAACCGAGAGTTGAATGTTAGCGTGAGAACTGTGAGGTGTGGTGACGAGGTGTTGTTTTATGCAAAAGATGTGGCAGAATCTCTAGGGTACGCAAACCCTCAAAAAGCTGTCAGAGACCACGTTTGGAAGTTAAATAAGGTAGTTGTGAGGGACCTTCAAAGGGTACCCAAAACGTTCACCTTGGATATATGAACCAGGAATATACCAACTAGTATTCAATTCTAAACTTCCAATAGCGGAGGCCTTTCAAGATTGGGTATTTAAGGAAGTCCTTCCATCTATCCGCAAAACAGGCTCGTATGAATTACCAGACAGAAGGTCACTTAGATATAACCAAATGATCCTTATAAATGAGACGGACCTTCATAATGCCATTGTAAGTTACATTAGAGATAACTACCCAGAGGCTGTAATATTACCTGGTCTAGGTGAGTATCAAGACACTATGTCAAAAAGATGTGATGCCTGGAAGAAGGGATATAAAGGTGGTCAACCAGATCTTATCATAGAGAATCCTATGGGAAAGTACAAAGGATTTGCTATTGAATTTAAGTCTCCTAAGGGCACCGGAGTTATAAGTGAGAATCAGGATATATGGTTCAGGAAACTAAGGGGAATAGGGTACATGACAATGGTATCAGATGATCTGGTAAAGACTTGCATTAGAATCAACGAGTATTTTGGCATAGCCGATACTGACGTAGTCGGTACTTCCTCACTTAAGAAAACCATAAGGAAAGCTGCAGTGAAAAAAGTAGTTTGTGACGTTAAGACGTACAAACCAAGGTTCAATTCAGGTAAGTACTAATGACACTAGTGTCATTTACGTAGCCTGCGGAGTATTAGGGTTACCTCACAAGCAAATCTGAGTTATCTCACCAGTAGATTTAAGTTATCTCACCAGTTATCTCACCAGTAGATTTAAGTTATCTTACAAGTAAATTTGAGACATCTCACAAACAAATTCAAGTTATCTCACAAGTAGAATCTGAGATGTCTCATAAGACTAAACCCAGTTAAACCTAAGGTATCTTACAAGTATAATGGAAGATAAACCTGAGCAAATCCAAGCACAAGTAACAAGTGAGAAGAAGAAGGACCCAAAGAGAGTAGCTGCAGGAAAACGATTAGCCGCAATCAGCAAAATAGCAAAGGAGAGGAAAAAGAAACTTGCGCAACCTAAGGAGCCATCAAGTAATAGTTTTATTACCTACATAGGAGTAGCCATTGCACTGGTATCTTTAGTGCTAGCATACAAGTCGCATCAGAGGGAAACCAGGGAACCGGAACCCAAGCACGCAAATGAGACTGTCGAGATAACTAGGAAAGCTGACGAGTCCAGGTTAGATTCACTTGAATGATGCATTAAACATAATATATATTATAACAAGATGAGTAAAGAATCAAAGATGACGAAGGAAGTGTACAACGCAGTGTTACTCACAGTAGGAGCAATCGGTATTTCAATGGCATCAAAGAAACTATTAAAAGAACCATTAGGCACCCCAGAGAACGTAAAAGGAATGGCAAAGTTAGCTGTCTCAGTTAGCCTTTCATCTCTACTAGTATCTTACTTGAAAGATAAGAAGTACCTACCAGATGATCCATTCAAAACCTAGGTAAGACTATACAATGGCAGCAACAGTAGCGGGAGGACTCTTTAATGCATTTGCATTTGCAGGAGCAGGATACCTATTCAAAATGTTTGACAAAAATGGATATGCTAAGGAAGCTCATAGACATAACATTGCGATGGAGAACCTAACAGCTGAAAGAGAGAAGTACCTTGAAGAAGTCACCAACAGAAGAAACAGACTTGCCCAATTAAGGTCAGAACTAGCTGAGGCAAATAGGGATATCAATGCAACAAATAAATCACTGGAACTCGTTAGAAGAATCAATGAGTTAACACGTACAGCTATGCCAAGGAGGCCGCAGTTAAGCAATCACTACAAACCTAGCTCCGAGATGGAAGAATATATGGCAATCTTCGGTTTAATTATAGGTGGGGTGGTTGGAGGGGCAGCTTACTTAATTCTATAAAAATACAGCAATTTTCTTTTACATATATAATATAGAGAAATGGATTGGCTTGCAATGGTAGACGTTGACGAAGTGGTGGCCTTGGGAAAAAGGGTGGACACCATAGAAGAACTAGAGGCCGCAGTCAAAAAATATGTGGAATGGAGAATAATGAGGCGTAAAAATAAACCACAAAAACAAGCAGAAAATTTTAACACATATAGTATAGGGAATGGACTGGCTGACACTGGTAACACCTGATGAAATGGAACGAGTCGGTAAGAACGCAAACACCATTGAGGAGTTAGAGGCTATAGTAATGAAATACGTGAGAAATAAAATGAAGGTCAGACATACATACGATCCAGTATGCAGTGAATGTGGTAGTAAGTCTGCTGTAATAATAGATAGAGCAGATGTATGCACACAATGTGGTACAAGTGATAGGAATGGCTTTACATACTATGTTAGTTACAACCACAACAAGGACGACTACTTGAAAAAGAAATCGTCCCATAATAGGGTCCGTTGGTTTGAGAGACACTTATTCGAGCATGTTGCTTCTGGGGATAGGGATACCATACGGGAGCAGTTTAGAAGCATCGTAAGATGTATACAAAGACTTAGACTGCAACGGGGGCGCAACATAGTTAGATATAAGTTTTACCTATTAAGGTTAGCCAGCATGAACAACATCATGTTGAGAAACCCACCTGAGGACATCAAGACTCAAAAAATTGTGAACATCCTTGAGGACAGACTATATGGAAAGGTTTTCCGCGAGTTGGGATGGGAACCCGTAAGTTGTAAATATTATAATAACTGGAAATTAAATAACAAATAAAATATTAAATTATTAAATAAAATAAAATATTAATTATAAAATTAAATAAAATATTAAATTAAATAAAATATTAAATTAAATAAAAATATTAAATTAAATAAATAAATAATTAAATACAAAATTAAATAGGCCTTAAAATAGGCCTATTTTTTTTTACCTATAGTATATAGAGAAAGAGTGAAAAATGGCGACAAACTTTGACATGAACAACATGACCGTGGAACAACTTATGGCACTTAGCGAGATAGTTGATGATAGCGACATTAGTGATTTCGAAGATGAAGCAGAAAAGATAAATATAGGTTAAAAGCCAAGGGAGAGGTTTTTATTAAACTGTGAAGACCGAGGGCCGAAGGCCCGAGGTCTTTACAGTTTAATAAAAACCGATACCCGCGGCTTTTAACTTGTTTATATACTCATCAGACCATATTCTTTTGAATTTTGGAGGTTTTCTTCATTAAAAATTCAAGCTATATCAATTCAATGAGAGGTCGCTGCAGTTGTGGGACGAAATAACTAGGTGTAACATGCGCATTAACACGCTTTAAAATGTGGTTAAGCATGCGCAGTATATCATTTCACGTCCCACAAGCAAAAGAGCAGATATTACTGTACAAATTCCCTGCACAAGCATGTTTGATGGTTGATCCAGCTAGTCCTCGTGCGCCGAATGATAGATACTCTTACCTAATGGTAGAGTTTTGACGGGCTCTGAGGTATACGGCTGTTGTCTGTTTCTCGACTTAGAGACGTGCAACGTTTTCTAGTCGAAAAGGAGATGTGGGTCTTGAGTTTTCCTGCAAATTCACGTCCCGAATTCAAGACTCATGCCAGGTCTTGAATTGAAAATGTAAACCAGGAACTGGTTATTATTTTTTCGTAATAACCGCCGGGTAGCAGGTTATTACGGAAAAATAATAACCTGGTAGCAGGTTATTACGGAAAAATAATAACCTGGTAGCAGACTAGCAGGTTATTATTTTTCCGTAATAACCTGCTACCCGGTTATTATTTTTCCGTAATAACCTGCTACCCGGTTATTATTTTTCCGTAATAACCTTCAACCCCGTATTTCCCCCGGAGAAATAAAATACCACCGCCTGCTTTTAGACTGAAGGTTATTACGGGGGAGTTAAAAACCGACGAAATACAAAAGAATATGGTCTGATGAGTTTGTAATGAAGGATCAATTCTATCGGGTAGCACCTAAGGACAAGGGCGAAAATCCCTTTGAAGGACAAAGACTATTCATAGATGAGGGAGATCGTTCTACTGACCCCAGACGGGCAAGAAGACGACCATTGAATGAGAAAGGTGAGAGGGGAATTATGCCTACATGGAAATATTCCGATAGACAGAAGGCAAAGGCTTTACTAGTTGAGGAGGCATATCAGAGTCTACTTAGCCAGGGAGTTGAGGGTTTACCACCGACTATGGGAGGTAGATGGAGAACTGATGATCCCCAGGTAAATGCTGAAATGAAGAGGCTAGAGAGGATTAGAAATCCAAGACGTCCTAGAGGAAGACCTGCAAAGCCTAAAACAGATGTTAATGCTGTGGCCCCAAAGAAACGTGGAAGACCTGCAAAAATTGTGACTGACACCAAAGTAGTTATTCCAAAGAAACGTGGAAGACCTGCAAAGGTTAAGTCTGAGGCCGAGGTTGTGATCCCAAAGAAACGTGGAAGACCAGCGAAGGTTAAGAAGCAAACTGTCGCGGAAAGGTTTATGAGTCAGAATAAAATAAAACTCTCGATTCCTGCGGATAGTGTGATAACTAAGGGGGGACCCAATAAGTTCACGGTGACGGTGGATTTAAGTAAGAGACCAACAAGGAAAGCTCCTGAGGTGCCAAAAGGTGTAGCTCCATGGAGGCCAGTTCCTAAGCCAAGGACCGTGTTCCCTAAAGAGAGACCAGTTCCTAAGCCAAGGACCGTGTTCCCTAAAGAAAGACCTGTTCCTAAGCCAAGGACTAAAAAGCCAGTGCCTCCTCCAAAGTTAAGAAAGCCTGTGAAGGTAATGAGGGAAGTTGAGGAACAACCTATAGTGGTCGCTCCAAAGGAACATGAGATTGATCCATTTGGAACATATCTTGAGAAGCCTTCTTATAGAAAGATAGAAACTGCCGCAAATGGTGCAGCGGTGACTTACTCAATAACTCCAAACTTTATGGATCCCTTGGACCAGATGACAGCAAGTAGGCAGGTTGTGAGGGGAATTCTAGTTAACGAGTTGAAGAGAATGGGAGGTCTAAAATATACGGAGACAATTAAGGTGAGAATGTCTAAGGAAATCGGAAATGACAAGACTAAGAAGGATTCAATATACTTCAAGTCAAGAACAGGAACTGCCACTAACTTTGAGGATATTGAAAGCACTGCAGCTCAAAACCAACTTACCATCTTATCCAGAATTGAAACTTTCCAGAACCTAGGTTCAAATTGGATTATACTAAACATTGAAAGTCATTACGTTAATATTGCAATGTACAAACCTCTAAAGGGTAGTTCATATATGAAGTTACCAGCAGATATTAGTAATCCAAAATGTGGACTCATAAATATGCAAAATGATGACAATAAATGTTTTATGTGGAGTCATCTAAGGCACGTAAGACCGAGAGCAAGAAGGGCGACAACCATAACAAAGCAAGATAGGGAGTTCGCGGAGAACCTAGACTATGAGGGTATTGACTTCCCTGTTAAGATAAGCGATATTGATAAAATTGAAAGAAGAAATTCAATAAGCATTTCAGTGTTCGGTTATAAGGGCAAAAAGCAGTTCTACCCAATCAGGAACTCTAAGACTAAATATGACGAACATATGGAGTTGCTGCTGTTAGGTGACAATGAAGGTGGTAACCACTACGTTCTAATAAAGGATGTAAATAGAATGCTCTTCAGTGTTAGCGGAAACTCAAACAAGAAGCACTTCTGTTTATAT